TCTATCTCTGATATTGAGCACTTTATCCCATAAATATAGCACATCTTAAGACTATATTTCTTTATATATATATATATATATATATATATATATATAAAATTTCAAATGGCTATTTTAATCTCAAACAGGCTCTTCCCAAATTAAAGATCTACACAACACAGTCTTCTTACCATAATTCCCCACTTCCTTTGACTTCATATGGAAGTAAATTAAATTATTTATATTGTTCTTGACTGTTGTCCGAATCTTTATTGTCATATCCACGCCGTTGAACACTCTGGCCTTCTTCAGGTGATGTTTATCTCGTGCACGGGGGGAAGATTGTTCTAGTTCCACATGCCATGCCTCTTCTGGGTGTCTCAGTTTCAGTTAATTCTCTTTAGTAACTCAGCTCACCAAGCCTTTGTCCACCAGGGTCAAGTCGCTTTTGGATTACTTCGACCAACGCTTTTATCCACTGGAAAATAAAGATGGGGACAGTAGTAAACAATGTAAATTGTTAGAATACTCAGAAATATAGACAGATGTAAATTAAGCATAGTCAAAATTAATAGGACTCTGGACTTGCTCCACCATCCCCGGTATGACGATAAACTGCAACTGCATCCTGGGTAAAACAATAAACTACATCCAACAGCAAAGCTTCTGATCAGGAGGTTTTGAGGAGCGTCGAACCACCTCTTCATTGCTGGTGTTCCCAGGTTCACCCTGACTAGGGGTGGTAGCACCTGTTAGGGTCCCAGCTATGAGCAAATAGTTAACGCCCAAACTGGGGTCAAAACACTATGAAAGTGAAAAAATAGGTTTTAGTACCAGCAATACGATTTTGCAAAAAAAAACAAATATTACCAGCAATACATTTTTAGAAAAAATATTACCAGCAATAAAAATCTTAAAGAACGCATTGAGGTTGATATGCCGTAAAACAAGCCAAACCAAACCAAACCAAGCCAAGCCAAGCCAAGCCAAGCCAAGCCAAACTTTTCCCGTGGCTGAACTAATTGTGAATTCCTCATTAACACAAGTGCATGATGTTCGCACTCTGGCAAAAAGATGGGATTTTGAATTTTGATTTTCAATGTTGGCAAAGTCATCTTATATCAGGGACTGGCCTAACACAATCTTTCTTTTGCTAATTCACTCTGCGTTTGGAAAGAATCTTAACTACGTTTTATCTGGGCACCTAATCAATTTGTTCTCTTACGTATTAGCGATGAGATGACATCGCAGTTCAGAAGACGTGACTAGATAGGGCAGGTTATTTACTAGGAACTATGCAAGCGGATGTAGTGTTACTAAACAATATTCATTGGCAAAAAAAATAAAATAATAATCTTATAATCCAAAATATGTTTTGGCTTTAAATAACCCAGAAAGGGTTGATAAGCCGTAAAAAAGAATAAGAAATTATTCTTACAATCCAAAATAAGTTTCGGCTTTAAATAACCAAGAAAGGGTTGATAAGCCGTAAAAAAAAGAAATTATTCTTACAAGCCAAAATATGTTTCGGCTTTAAATAACCCAGAAAGTGTTGATAAACAGTAAAAAAAAAAAAAAAAATCAATTAATCAACAATCTACGATGAGCGTAGAACAAGTTGTGGTCTAATTCTCTCTTCATTTTAATTTGTACTGCATCTGGTCATCTAAGTACACTCCATCAATTTGTTCTCTTGCGTATTTGCGATGAGAGTGGAACAAATTCTCGCCTCCTTCACGAAAAAAAAAAATTATTCGTGTCTATTAATGGCAGTCATTAGACGAATCAAAGTTAGACACGCAATATATTTACTCTTCAACTATTTTCTCGATAAACCTTTCGCCGACACACTCACTCATTCACTCAGTCAGTCAGTCACTCACTCACTCATACACACACATTCTCTCTGTCTGTCTGTCTGTTTGTCTGCCTCTCCCCTCGCTTTCATGGCATTACAATCATTCATGATTTAAACCCTGACATTTTAAAGTTAAGACAACTGACACATCATTGAATGAAAAGGAAATTATTTTTTTATTTTGCTTTCAGAAGAGCAAATCTTTTAAAGTTTCATGAATATTTTGAAAGTTTTCAATGCCAAGTTAATTTACTTTTTAATATTGTAGCGTCTATCGGCCCTGAAATTGGAATTGGCAAACCAAGTTCCAGCCGAATCTGTTGCACTCATTTTTGTGCAACTAACATTGAAAAAGATTTGAATCTATGTCTTCTCTCCATTAGCTAGTGGTTAACTGGAAGACGGGTCTCTTTAGCTTTGGTTGGCAGCCAGTCTAGGAAAAGAACATCTCTGGTTAGAATGTGGACCTCTATTCCACAGCATAATTTTACTATAGATTGATGAGACAATTCAAAATGAAGTAAAGAATAATGATAAGATTGCTTAGCGCCAATTTTCAATATTGAAAATCCTGACTTAAAAATCATCATTTAAACTTTTGAATCATTTTCTATCTTCTTTTCTCCATTTTTCACCTAATAAAATTGCTATATAGGAATAAAGTGTCGCTGCCGACACTGGAGTTTGAACACAGATCACCAGAGAGCAAACACAGACGATCCCACTATAAACTTGGCCTTGTGCCGCATCCGACCGCGTTGGGAGGTTAGTGAATAACTCACTCTCCGGATTACTTCGGAAGTGTGCTGATCAAACTCTCTGCCTTGGAGCAGAGAGGAAACCAGACGAGGCTCTGCCGAAGGGTAGAGTCTTGTCTGGGGTGGTAGACAGCTACCCGACCTCGTTTTTTACGGGGTTTACGGGGAGTTTTAGACCGAGCCTATGATCTCGGATATCCCACAATAAACTCGGCCTTGTGCCATATCCGACCGCGTGGGGCGGTTAGTGAATATCTCACTCTCCGGATTACATCGGAAATGTTCTTGTCAAACTCTCTGCCTCCGGGCAGAGAGGATCCCCATACGTGACTATGCCGAGCGGTAGAATCTCATCTCGGGACACAGCTACCCGATCCCGTTTTTACGGAGTCTACGGGGAATTTTTGGCCGAGCCTACAATAAACTTGGCCTTGTGAGCATCCGATCGCGTGGGGCGGTTAGTGAATATCTCACTATACGGATTACTATTCGGATCACTATTCAATCTAGTATTATCGAGCAAGTACTATTAGTACGAGTTTTAGTCGAAGGCGTCTGACACCAGCATTGTTCAACGTCGTTACTGTAGTTGTATCTGCGATCACTAGTCTCTACTACAAAGAATATTACGAAAATGACAACTAGTATTTGTTGACATTACAAAAGTGGCAACGAGTGTGCGTTGACATTACAAAAAAGATGCTTAGGGGGAATTTTTTAGAAATGGTAGGGGACATTGTGTACATTTTATTTTATAAGTTCTAATCAGTTCTAATAAGATGCTTAACTAGATACCCCAAAGATTCGCCAAAAATGAGCATATATGATAAAAAATGCCCAGAATTCAATAAAACAAATTATCGTCAAAATTTTTATAAGGGGAAAGACCAAAGTTATTTTTTCTAGAACTTTCGAAATTTCGTTTAAAAATCTTGTTTCTCCGGTGTCAACGTTGCACCATAAGTTAGTATGGGAGACTTTAGCGTCTTTTTGTGTTGCTAAACGCACTGATTTGGAAATTCTTGCAAAAATCAGATAATTGTCTGATTTTAACCTTTGTGACCTGCGTTCCTGAACAATGTTAACCGTTGATTCAAAATTCGCAAATAATTCGTATGTAATTTTTCACGGTAGATATAAAAAGAGTTACAAAAAATATCTTCCTGATTGCTTCCCTGACGGTCCAGGTTGAGACTCTGCACGTTTCATGGTAAAAACGATCTTTTTTTTTTTATCCAAAACACACGCACAAAACACAATGAAAAGGTCCGGACATGTTGGTATCCAGTTTAATGACATCAGAATATTACGACTTTTCTGATTGGCTCTTCAAAATAAGACACCCAATAACAAAACCCGACGCAATTGTTTAGCCACCGTTCAACCGGTGACTGCGTATTAAGTCATTTTTCCACCGGTAAAGCAGTGATCAGGGCTCAAAGGGTTTATGAAACTTTCAGGACTTATTTACAAACGAATGAAAATATATCTGAAATATTTCTTTTTTCGAAAACTATTGCAAAAAAAAAAAAAAAAAAATTCATTACATCCATTAACCTCCACTTATTTGATTTTATGAAATTTCGAGAAATTCTTTTTTTTTTGTAGCGTTTAATGTTTATTGTAGTTATAAGTACAAGTCCTCGGAGAATGTAAAACATGAAATTCTTTTTGGTCAAACAAGGTCCCTAGATACAGAAAATCTGATCTGAATCGTAAAATAAAAAATACAATAAAATTAAGACATTATTTAATTAGAAAATTTTCTATTTGCTTTTTTCAAGCATTTCATTGCAAGCAAGGCGGCGTGTGCCACTAGCACACATGGGTTACAGAGAATGAGAGCAAGAGTAAGGAGAAGTGTTTGAGGAAAGGATATAGAGAAGGACGGGTATGTCGATTGACATTACATTTGAATATTTGAAGATTATAGCTATCAGGGAAGCAAGTAAGAGGAAGGGAATTCCACTGTCGAGAAGTGCGAGATAAGAAGCTGTTGGAGTAGAAGAGGGGGTTACATTTAACTATTTCGACAGTGAAATGGTGGGACCGATATGCCAACCTAGTAGAACGCTTAAATTCGTGCAGTTGGGGCACCAGTGAAAGTAGCTCGTCAGAGCAGTTGCCATGGAAATATTTGCAGAAAAGACAGAGGGAAGCCACTCCCCGTCTGTGAGAAAGGGACTATAGACGAGATTCCAGATCAGGACCTTTTTTATGTGAAAAATAAATTTTGAAGAGGATTGTCTCAAGAAAAAACTTTTCCGATGAATAATGAAATTTTACAAGAATTGTTTTGATTTTTAAAAGTTTTAATGGGAATAATCTATGAATTTTTAAATCTTTTAAAATTCTCTATTAATTTCTAGCGGTCAAGAGATGTTGTCATTAATTTAAAAATAAATTTACTTGAGAGAGAGAGAGAGAGAAAGAGAGGAGAGAGAGATAGAGAGAGAAAGAGAGGAGAGAAAGAGAGAAGAGAGATAGAGAGAGATCTGTAACAAAGAAAGAGAGGAATATTTTGCAAGAAAGAAATCAGAGGAGATTGAGAGAGAAAGAGAGAAAGAAGAGAGAAAGAGAGGAGAGAGAGAAAGAGAGAAAAAAGAATAAGAAAGAAAAAAAAGATAGAGAGAGAGAAGAGAGAGAGATTTAGAGAAATAAAAAGAAAAAGAGCGAGAAATAGAGGAGATTGAGAGGAGATTTAAGAGAGAGAGAGAGAGAGAGAGAGAGAGAGAGAGAGGAGAGAGAAAAAGAGAGAAGAGAGAGAGAAAGAGAGAGAAGATTTCCTAAAAGAGGAGAAAGAGAGGAGAGAGATAGAGAGAGAAAGAGAGGAGAGAGGTAGGGAGAGAAAGAGAGAGAAAGAGAGGAGAGAGAGTAAGAGAGGAAAGAGTGAGAAAGAGAGGAGAGAGAGAAAGAGAGCAGATTAGAGAGAAAGAGAGGAGAGAGCGAGAGAGGAGAGAGAGAAAGAAAGGGGAGAGAGAGAGAGGTGAGAGAGAGAGAGAGAGAGAGGGGGGAAAAGACGTTGAAAAGTTTCCACCCACGTTGTTTCTGGTCGCTATTTAAGTAAGGTCACAGCGAAAAGCCCTTGTCAACAACGACACTAAAATGAGCACAACCCCTTCAGCATTTTCCCAAATTCTGATGACCTGCAGCAAGGAAATCATCAGGAATATACCTCAGTTTTGATTATTTCAGCTTGATGCAGCAACTCTGGGGTTTTGATCAGGCATTTCACTAGCAGCAGGAATTGTTCTTCGTCACGTCATTTAAATAAAAGGGTCGTTGTTCGATATTGAAGGTCAACATTCGAGGAAATAGGCACAGCTGGAAGTGGCAGGTATTTGTGTCAAAGGGTAATTGTGACAGTTAATGTCTATAAACAAGCTTTGTCATATTCAGATAGATTTGCAGATATATATATATATATATATATATATATATATATATATACAAGTACATATGGAATAAAATTCCGATAACCAAAAACTATTCTTAAAAGAGTACTCAATACCGAATAGAAAATAATATTTATTCAAAATTATAACATATGCATGTTATAACATCACTACAAAAATTACAATTTTGTTTCTATACTTCTTTGTCTTATCAATTGCAAAAAAAAACATATTTTTTGCAATCAACACCATGACTTGATAAGACATCAGTAGTGTTGAAACAAAATTGCAATTTTTTGAGTTATATTATAACATGCACATGTTATAATTTTTTTTATATATATATATATATATATATATATATATATATAAAAATTATTTATAAAAAAATTATAACATAAGTATGCTATACTATATAATAATGTTATAATATGTTATAATTTTTTTATAAATAATTATTATATCTGCTCTACTTTGTATTGAGCACTCTTTTAAGAATAGTAATTGTTGGTTCTTGGAATTCATTCCGTATATACCAATTATATACTTGGATATATATATATATATATATATACGAATGTAATGAGAACGAAAATAATATATAAATTCTAACGTTTACAGCATTAATTCAAAAGAGGGCTCAATACCGATGGTAGAGCAATAATTATTTATTATAATTTTTTTTTCATATAGACAAAAACAATTTACTCACTACAAAAATGCAACCTCGTTTCGGTGTATTTAGTTGCACCTCAACTGGTGAGAACCAAAATGGTTATGAACATAACCATTTTGTTTCCCGCCAATCCATATGAAAAAATTATAATATATGTATATATATATATATATATATATATATATATAGGCATCGTATCTTCACTCAAACATGTTTCATTGAATAATGTAGACATAGTATATCTATTTTTATAATAACCCTTCACAGTTTTCTAATCAGTTTCTTGATGTTAAGATGAACGACTAGTGTTTTGGAAAAGACTAACATTACATATCGGTTTAAATATCCTTTGGAAGATTGTATCTCTGACAAAAAAGTAAGTACATATTTTTGTTTGACAACTACAACATTATCAAGATGTCTTACACTTTACTTGTCGGATACAAGTTCTATTGCACAACATTTAAAGACTCATTCCTGTCTACCTTCACAATACAGGAAAATACTTGTTGACAACTCCAATAATAACTGACACGACGAAAGTAATAAACAAAAACTTCAAATTCTCGATTGCCTCTATATCAAGAGCAACCAACCAACACTCAAAATTTGTTACGAGTGTATCAGGAACGTGTCGAAGTACATTTCAAACATTTAATTCCATTTTGCATTTCTTCCAATTTCCCGTCAGCTCCCTTATATTGGAACGCTTGTTTTTCAAAAAAAATCCATAGCTACAACGGTTAAATTTAAAATTTTAAAATAATTATAACAGATCGAGTTCGCGTGAGTTTTATTAAAAATCAACATCACAACGAAATGTAGATTTTATCACAGTTACAATTAGTTTTTCTTTCAGTATCTGTCTATATTTCTGAGATGATGTATTATTATACACTATTTACATTATTTGGACTATTGAATGTTGAGATCATAGACAAAGAACACCATTGGAAAATTCGTAAACTTAAGGAATCAAAGAATTAAATGCTTCCAAAAAATCTCCTGACGTTATCAAATACACCAAATGAATACAATAAGAACAACCAGTAATAAGGAGGACAAAGCCAGAAAAAACGTTAATTCAACAAAAAATCCATTACAATTATGAGCTTGGTAGGAAAATGGAATGATAAAAAAAAAATTACTATATTATAAACCGATTTGAATGTGTGTGTTCATACAAAGATGTTCCTATATTTATAACACATGACACTTAGGATAAATATTAGTTAATCCAGGACAGGACCCAAATTGAAGTTCAAGGCGGTGGAGAACTTGGAGATGATTAAATATCTAACTGATAATGAATCCATTAGACATGGCATTCTTTAACCATTTACTTGGTCACAACATCTTGGCGACGAAGGATTCGAAGAAACGGACTTCACGTTAAATCATAAAAAAAAAATTTTTTTTTTGCCAGTGTCTACAACAGTGGTGAAGAAAGGAATTCTAATCAAACTCTACGACAAAAAGGGTATCCAGTGTTAATTACAACACTGACAGTGAAAAAAAAAAAACTTCAAAACAATAGGATTTCTACAAGTTCAATTCAGTGGTTGGGAAGAAGGTTGGTGAACCTTGTTATTTTTTTTCCATTCAACAAGTCAGTAAAAGAACTGTACAAGTCAAACAGACTTATTGTTTTTTTTTGCTAATAGGGTAAAGTAAAAAAAAAACCCCCTCTCCCCTTTTAAATTTTTCAGTAAAAGAATCGTACAAGTCAAACAGACTTATTGTTGGTTAAGAGGGTAAAGAAAAAAAAAAAAAATCCCCTCTCATTTCTTAATTTTACGTACCACCGCAAAAAATGGACGAATTTAAAAGTGCAATGCTAGAGTTGATGAAACACCAACAGGAACAACAACTACTGTTGGAACAGAAATATCAAGAAAGACAAGAGAAATTCCAACGAGAACAAGCAGAATACCAGAAGAAATTTGAGGAATTGCACCTAGAAATCAGGTTAGACAACAGAAACTGGAAGAAATGCTCCTTCAAACACAGAATGAGCAAAAAGCACTTGTATAATATATCCATCAAAAGCCAAAATGAGGACAGCGAAAACGCGTTCTCTCAAAATGCTATATGGAGTGCTATTGAAAAAAACTTCACGTTTGCACCTGAAGAAGAAATTACATTCGCTTCGTACTTTAAACGTTACGAGGACTTATACAATACGGATTGTGCTAGTTGGGCTGACCATAAAAAGGGTTGCCTATTCCTTAGGAAATTAGGCACAGCAGAATATACTAAGTTTGTTAACTATATTTTGCCTAAAGAAAACCAGCGACTTGAAATTTAAAAGAGGCGGTTCAATCATTAACAGAACTCTTCAGTCCAAAAAAAATCACTGTTCCACAAGCGTTGGAAATGCATGAATCTCACCCGCAAAGAAGACGAAGATTATACTACTTTCGCGAGTGTAGTCAATAAACACTGCGATGATTTCAAATTGGCAGAGTAAGCGCCAATAATTTTAAATGCCTGATTTTCGTCCAGGGTTTGATTTCAGCGAAAAGACGCCGAAATACGTCGTAGGGTACTCAACAAGCTTGAAAACGAGCCCGACGTTACTTTACAGCAAGTTGCCGAAGATTGCCAACGTTTCGTGAGCGTCAGAGAGGATTCGAAAAACATCGAACAGAGTGGCGTGGCTCACATTAAAAAAAAAACGCCAAAAAAATTAAAAAGGGTCAACCAAAAAAATAATAAAGTTACTTTGCCGTCAAGACCATGTTTCGGGTGTGGTCAATTACATTGGTATAGAGATTGTCCTTTTAAAGATAAAAAAAAAATTTTTAATTGCGATAAATTGGGACACAAAAGTTCCCACTGCAGGATTAAGAACAAGACAAAAAAAAAAAGTTGTAAAAAAATTACCAAGTCTGATGAACCAGAAAGTCGTAACATCAGGAAATATATTGAAGTGCAAATATTTAACAAAAATATAAGGCTACTACAGCTGGATTCAGATTCGGGTTCAGACTTATCCATAATTAATTATCAAACATGGAAAAAAAAAAAACTGGGTAAGCCGACTTTGTTAAGAACGAACCGAATAGCTAAAAAAGTGTAACTGGCGACCCTATTAAGTTTATGGGCGAACTTATAACGAACGTGTCATTCAAAAGGTAAAACTTTAAAACTAAAAGCATATATTATGAAGAATATGGGTAATTTGTTCGGTACTGATGGGTTAGAACAGTTTCAACTTTGGGATATGCCTATTAACTCATTATGTCAAAAAGTCAAAAATTTGACTGACGAAGCAAGGAAGCTGAAAGGTGAACTTAAAAAAATTTCCCAATGTTTTCAGTGGGGGGCTAGGAAAAAAAAAATGTCTGCAAAGTTTGAGTTAAAGCTAGACATAAACCCAGTTTTTTTGAAAAAACGTAATGTTCCATTTGCCTCATTAAATCAAATTGACGAGGAGTTGAATCGATTTGAGGAAATGGGAGTTCTGGCAAAGGTTGAATATAGTGAATGGGCAACTCCCACGGTTTATATTTAAAAAAAAAGCAAAGAAATTCGTGTATGTGTGGACTTCTCTACGGGGCTGAACAGCGCCCTAAAGGATCACCATTATCCCCTTCCAAATCAAGAGGAGATATTCGCTAAGCTCAGTTGAAGGAAATATTTTTTCGACTTAAGCGACTCATATCTACAAATACCCATGGACGAGGAATGCTCGAAACTCCTTTGCATAAAC